AGGGTGCAAAGCACATGTGGACTTGGGGTCTCTGTGATACAAAAGAGAGTCATACTGTAACGTGCGGTGGAGATGAAGTCAGCCGTGGAGGTGTGCAGGTGGATAGCGAATGAGCAACAGCTTCTGCCTCTCCACAAGTAGTCATTTATTTAAAATATCAAAAATAAAAGTGCTACCTCTACCACACATTACTCGAGAGCATACTAGTCCGCATACACACAAGAGCATCCATTACAGGGACAGTGCGAAGAAGAACAAAAAGGGGGTGACACACCAGTCATGAGACAGGAGGCGCCACCATGTGGTGATACAATGCATTACAACAGCAACTGTTACAATACACAACATACTGTAACAAGGTAGCACTGTCTTAGCTGTTTAGAGAACTAAGAGTACAAATGTCCAGACTGCCCATGACAGCGTGTTCTGTCGGCTTCTCACAAGTCAGAGGTAAACGATTGCGGAACAGCGCATCTGGAACTTTGTTATGTGCGCCAAGTTTGTGCACTAGTGTGAAATCAAAGGCCTGCAGGTGAAGTGACCAGCGGGCGAGTCGGAGTGTTGGGTTTTGATGAGACATGAGCCACCTGAGACTGTTGTGGTCAGTGAACATAGTAACACGAATGCCTTCAACATATGGGTGAAAGTGTTCAAGGGCCCATATCACAGCAAGGCACTCCTTCTTTGAAGTACAGTAGGGGAGTTCAGCTTTGTGAAGGGAGCGACTAGCAAAAGCCACAACATTGTGAAACCTGATGATTTACTGAGGTCAAATGGCCCTGGATGTGAGCAGACGTTAAGTCGTCTCAGAAGTGATCTCAAAACGGGACTATAGATGGCAAATAGTTGGTGTCGTAAAGACAGCCAGGAAATTTGGGTGAAGAACTTTTCGGATAGGAATTTCACTGAACCTGAACCTGAACCAGTGCTAGCCAAAGGACTCCATTTTACCAGTTTTCCTCTTGGTGAGGAAGGATGCTGGCCAGACCTGGTACACTTAAACATATAGTGAGGGTGCAGTGGAAATGCCTAGCAGAGGCCCTTGTCCACAAGATCTCCAACCAACCCCC